AAGTACTTTGGGACTTTAGAGTTCAGACTAATATCTGCCACCTAACACTGCAGAATTAACAGTTGTTGATAAGAAAACAGAAAAAGGAGTCTGGATAGTGGATGTGGCAGTACCTAGAGAGAGCAGAATAAAAGAGTGAATTGCAATGGAGAGAATTACAAAATGCAAAGACCTACAAATAGAATGGAACAACCTTTGACATCACAACAAGAACATTTCCCTATCTTGGGTTCTTTGCAAGGGCTTGATAGGCACACAAAAATGCCAAACCCAGTCTAAACATCTGGCTGACTTGCCAGTTCCAATATTAGTAGCAATTGTAATAGCAGTTTCATGAGCCGTGGTGGCGCAGTGGTTAGAATGCAGTACTGCAGGCTACTTCTGCTGATTGCTGGCAGTTTGATTCTCACCGGCCCAAGGTTGATTTAGTCTTCTATCCTTATGAGGTCACAGTAAATTAGCAATATGCTGACTTTGTAGAGGGCCCTGCAAAGCACTATGTAGCATAATGTATAAGTATAATGCTATTGCTATTCATAAGCCCTATCTCACTCTGGTGGTTTCTTCTACCTTGTTTGAGATCAGATAGGTATTTGCTGTATGAAGAATGTTCCTTTTTTCTATCTAAAAGCAGCTCCTTATCACCGAATATATTTGCTATATTGATGGAAGATACTTGACCACTAATAAATGCCAAGTCATTAATCTTTTAATTTTTAAGTGTGTACTTAAGTGGATATATTTCAGCCTCAGGTGATCAAGGTGTGTAAAGCCATAACTTTAAAATTATCATTTTAACTAAAAAGAATGATTTTGAAAAATATGAGGATCTGAATAGTCAAAAATAGAGGTTGACCATATAGAGATTAAGCTGCAGAAATTACCACTATTTTCAGAGGTGAACAATTCTCCAGTGAGCATGGTAACATATTCACATTATATTTATTGATTACCTTTTTGTAGCCTATGTTGCAATGAGGTTAAAATAAGTAAAGACTTTGATTTTTAAAAACCAGATCCAGCTGTTCTAGAAATGTTTGTCCTGCATATACACATCAAAGAACCATATAGATTCTATTTACTGCAATGTATTTAATTCCATTATTAATAGATAATTAAGGCTAGTTTATCATTTGGATGGGTAGGGTTTCTTAAATTTTCTTAAAGGTTTCATTTCTTTCTGTTATTAAAATGGAGGTACATGCTTAAAGCCTAGTTAAATGTGAAAAGACACCTAGAGAGTGTTTGGAGGGCCAGCCGGTCTGAATCCGATCGAACACTAGGAAGAATTCATATTAAATCGTACTTAGTGGCGATAAAAGCGGCAAAGTGGCAACATTTTCCCACTCTTATCGTGTCTGCAGATATCTGCCCAGCCGCCCTGTTTATGGTGACCCTCTCCTTACTTAACCAAGGAACTAGGAATGACCTCTTGCAGGGTAGGGCTGAAGAATTTGTTCAGTATCTGCAGGATAAAATCGCTCAAATTCGGACAGGCTTGGACTCTGACTGGGTAGATTCAAGCGAGTTGACGTGGATGAATCTTGTGGAGACTATCTGGGATGAGTTTGACCCTGTGACCCCCGAGGGCATGGACAGGATTATGGGGAGACTCGGGGTGCTGGACCCATGTCCCTCTTGGTTAGTTTAGGCTTCCTGGGAGGTGACATAAGGCTGGCTCCAGGTGATTACCAATGCTTCATTGAGAGAGGGGTTCTTTCCTACTGCCTTGAAGGAGGCGGTGGTGAAGGTCCTCCTTAAGAAGCCTTTCCTGGCACCCAGCTTCTTTAGCCAACTATCGCCTGGTCTCCAACCTTCGCTTGGTAGAGAAGGTTGTCAAGAGTGTGGTAGCACATCAGCTTCCCCAGTACCTGGTTGAAGCTGCCTACCTGGATCCATTTCAGTCGTGTTTCAGGCCCGAGTACAGCATGGAGACGGCATTGGTCGCATTGGTTGATGATCTCTGGTGGGCCCGGGACAGGGGCTGCTGCCCTGTCCTGGTCCTATTAGACCTCTCAGCAGCTTTCGATACCATCAACTATGGTATCCTACTGCAACGGCTTGGGGGATTGGAGTGAGGGGCACTGTTTTGCTGTGGTTCTCCTCTGACCTGTCGGATCAGTCACAGTTCGTGCTGACTGGAGGACAGGGATCAACTCCGAGGTGCATCACTTGTGGGGTGCCCCAGGGGTCAGTTCTCTCACCCCTCCTGTTCAACATATATATGAAACCGCTGGGTGAGATCATCCGTGGTTTTGGGATACGGTATCATCAATATGCTGATAATACCCAACTTTTCATCGCTACCCCAAACCACCCAAATGATACCTTCGACATGATGTCACGATGCCTGGAGGCTGTGCGGATCTGGATGGGGAGGGACAGGCTCAAGTTCAATCCCTCCAGGATTGAGTGGCTGTGGTTTCCATCATCCCAATTTGTGCATCTTGTTCCATCTTTGATGATAGGGGGAGAAACTTTACCCCCTCAGAGAGGGCCTGCAATCTGGGAGTCCTCCTGGATATGCGGCTTAGTTTAGAAGAGCACCTGATGGCCATGATCAGGGGGGCCTTTCTGGATTGGGATGCTCTGTGCACAGTCACTCATGCCCTCGTCCTTTCTTGCCTGGACTACTGTAACGCTCTCTACATGGGGCTGCCCTTGAAGACCACCCGGAGGCTTCAGCTGGTCCAGAATGCAGCCGCGCATATAAATCCAATAAACTTCAAACCTGATACCCACTGCATGCTCTTTGCCATTAATCCATATATCTAAGTAAGATAATTTTTGTTAATTTTGAACATTTAGTTGGTCTAGATTTAGGTACGCTTATACATTTTGTGAAAGTTTGGTGTGTTTTCCTCTCCAGATATTTAACAAAGTTTAATAAAATATGCTTAGATTTGTTTAAAGTCGGTCTAAATGGGATATGCTCCAGTTATAATTTTAATGGCAAAGCTGTTAGATCTTAAAAAGCTGTAAGAAACATTTGTGTCTACAGTGGGACCTTGAGTCACTTGGTTCTGACCATGACCAAATTGGGTGCCGACCAAAAAATCCACTAAATGTTTCACTCTGTTCACGAACAAATGCTTGGGTGGTGATCAAACTCAGCTGCAGCGA